ACTCCACCAATTAACGCCTTCCACGAGCTAGATACCACCACCTGCTTACCCATACCTATAAATATCCACCAACAGTAATCACAATTCACACAATATTCAGTCTTGATAATGGATGTAGAACGCATTTGAAATGCGTCGGCCAACTCATCACTATCTACAACTTTTACCCGTTGTTCTAACAACGTTAAGACGGCTTATCGACTTCTTTAGAAGAATTCTAAGAAGAAAGTAAACCTACAGACATCGGTCTTGTTTAACAAAATCTGCTTACCTATTTTGCTAAATCATCAGACATGTAATAAGGTGTAGTGTACATCTTCACCACACTTAACCCTTTACACAACCCAGAAAATAACAGGTTGCTGAAATTAGCCCTACCATCCTTGTGGATCCCTTCTGGTGTTCAAATCATGTTATCCAGTTCTCCACCAACACATTAGCCAGGGAATATGCTAAAGCATCGCCTAATGGATAAACCCTAGTCCTATTTTGAAGCAGTCAATGGCAATGAGCATATTACAATGACCTCTCTCGGTCTCTGGGAGTGGACCATCAATATTCATGGCTAACCTCTTTAGAGAGAATTCACAATTCTCTGTTAGCGTTTACTCTATCATATCTAGTTCTTTGGGTGCCACACAACATACATTGTTCACACCAGTGATGACTGTCTCAAATCAAATGCACCCAGTAAAATCTGTTCTGCCCAACAGTTCTCAATGAAATTACAATCAGAAGATTTTTCTGGTCAAGGCAATCTTGTAATATCCTCCTGGTCGAGACAATCCTGTACAATACGTGCACTGTGGGCAGTGGCATTTTCATCCTGGAACACAAAGTTATTGACAAACCTTGCCCTAGCAGAAATATCTTCTCCATGTGATGCCTGTAGGAGGTGCCATGGACGTTTCCATGGAGGATATGAAGACCAGTTTCCACCATGATGAATAGCTTCCTAAACATGCACTTCACCACCTCCTATGTGTTCACTGTGGGAAAGACAGTCTTCCCTCATCTGTTCTCCAAGCAAATGACAAACATGAATCCTACCACTAGTTTTAACAAGCCAGAAACAGGAGTCCTCTGAAAAGATGACCGGCTTCTAGTGTCCTAACTGTAAGTTGGCATTTTGTCTTGCCATTTTGTAACATGTTTGCAGATAGCTCATTTTACAAAATAATCTTCTTTGGGTAGTTTCCTATTCTCTGTTTTGTTTTCTGGATATCCTGGAATGAATGTATTCACACCATTCTTGTTGTAAGGTGTTGCTAGACTTCTTTTGACCTTGATGTGTATACCTGATCAAAGCACAATCATCTCAAGTAGTAGGTTTTGACATCTACCAGTAGACATTCCCGGAACAACGTTTTCTGTAGTCTGATAACGTTTCATTATTCTGGATAAAGTACACGATTTCTGGACAGTCAAATAATTTAATGCCCTATGACTTCTGGCATATGATGAGGCAGCATGACTACACTAAGTACAGAGTACTTGTCTGAACAAAGCATTGATTTGTTTCGAAAAAGATTATACCAGAAACACGCCTTTTTATACAAAACAGGTATGCATATATGTTTTGACTAACAATTGCTTAAAACAACTTATGCAGACCAGAATAACAACTCGTACATGTTTGTCTAATCACATGCTACCTTCTCTGTTACTACTTGGGAATTTACTCAATTACTATTCCATGTATGTAGACAGTAATATCAATACAGAACAGTATGCAAACATTTTGTCCAAGACTGTAATCCATGGAGGATATGAAGACCAGTTTTTCCACCATGATGAATAGCTTCCCAAACATGCACTTCACCACCTCTTGTGTAGCAGTTTTAGGTCTGCTCTCATTAAGCAGCTTAACTTGAATGTATCCAGATTCTAGATCTAAACTGTTGAATCAACAGAAACCTTTCATTGCATCCAAATATTCCTCTATTTGTAGAAATAGAAAACAGCAATGCCAGTTACTCTCTTTACAAGTCTAAAATCAACACAGTATCTTGATATACCTTTCTTCATCATGAAAATCACTACTGGAGGTGACCAAGAACTATTTGAAGTTTGTATGATCCTGTTCTTTAACGTCCACATTATCTCATTGTAAACCACGTTCCCAGTGCTCCAGTGTGGCATTGCTTGATCAGACATGTGTCACCTGTACCTGTGTGGTAATGATAACATAATTGGTCACCTTGTCCCACAAATACAATGGCATACTCAGTCAAAATGTTTCTGAGTTTCTATTGCTGCATTGAGTCCAGATTGTTTACATTATCCTCAGACAGTGGTCTCAGGTGTATTGGTAGCTACATATTTACTTTTAGACATGATACGACAGACACAATCCTAGTTTTATCACTAGCCTTGGATGTTTTCACTTTGCATACCACACCAATGATCATTCCAGTAAAAAAAAGTAGATAGCTGATCATCCATAATTACAAAACAACATCAATACTTTCTTCTTTGCATAAACTTCCTCGAATTGTTGGCTCTTGAGTCTTACTCATGACTGTATATAACAAAGTATCCTGGTATTAATAATTTCATTTGTAACGAATCCAACAACAAGAGTGCCCATTACAGTGACATCTGTACATAGCCAGGGACCTGCCTCTCCACTCTTATCTAATCTATCCCCATTCATCAGAGTGAGGTCAGTATCAACTGACTGGAGTGGTTGATATATTGCAAGAACTACCAGTCTTCTGTCTGCTTTTGTGTTAACAGGGAACTTGTTCTATTGACCTTGTACCCTCACAGGTATAAACCCAGGTCCATCCAACTCTTAGAGAACTGAGTTGACCATCAAATCTTTTGACACCAGCTGTCTGATCTGCTCCTTCAATTCAGCGGTGAAGCCCAACTTAGAGTCTATTAGTTTACTGGATGTGTAGTGGCAGTGCTTGTCATTTACTGTTGTTTCTTATGGGCCTGCCTAGCTGTAAATTAAAACCAATAGCCTTGCTCTCCCAGCAGCTTGGCAAAGTATGGGCACTGCTGATTCTCTGACACCTGCTGAGCCATCAGTAGGAACTGATAATCTTGCCTACTTTGTTTCTTGGTTGAGTATGGGCTGTTAAATTCCTAGTGACCTAACATATCACAGATAAAGCAGACACTCTGATACTCCCAGAGGTCGAAATAATGGGGTTTTTGGTCGTCCAAAACGGCCGTAATTTGTGTGTGATGTCCAATGTTTACCTTGTAGGTCGTTCCAGAGGATGACCCGGCATGGACCATTGCTTATGGAATTATATTATTATCAAATATCATGTCTCCGGAGAAAATTATTATTTGCATTAAAATATTTCTAAGCATGCTTTCGTCTTTTTGTCTTGTGCTATATGGTGGCTTTACGCAAAATTCAGCAAACAAACAATTGAACGAATTATTTCAATAACTATGAAACCTTCCACGAATCATTTTAAGGAAGTCTACAAACAAGTGAGGGTTCGCGAACTACAAATTGAGAACCACTTCTCAAAGTTATTATGATGAATGTCAAACGAATTGTCAGTAGAATAAAGCTTAGAAAAATTATGGTTGAAAATTGTAGAATATATATATGTGATATCTTTCTCTTAATTGGGCTCTCGTGAAAAATAAAGTGTGTAACATTTTCAGAGTATTTGATCAAAACGTAAATATTGTTTCAAATTTTTATAAACAACATTGTTACTTGGTTTTCTTATTTGTTCTTTGATGTAATAAATCACGCCTTTGAAAACGTTCCTTTTTAAAGGGGCCCGGCATGGCCAGATGGTTACGGCACTCGACTCGCAATCTGAGGGTCGCGGGTTCGAATCCCTGTCTCATCAAACACGCTCACCCTTTCAGCTGTGGGGGCGTTATAATGTGATGGTCAATCCCACTATTCGTTGGTAAAAGAGTAGCCCAAGAGTTGGCGGTGGGTGGTGATAACTAGCTGCCTTCCCTCTAGTCTTACACTGCTAAATTAGGGACGGCTAGCGCAGATAGCCCTCGTGCAGCTTTGCGCGAAATTCAGACAAAAAACCTTTTTAAAGATATTTTTCTTAAATTTAGACATAATCATGTTAGCATATTTAGGATATTTTGAAAGTACATAATAATATTTTCATCGAACTAGGTGAATTAAAAACCATCAACTCGTAGCGCTTCAGTCAACGGTATTTAAGTTTTTAACTTTTTAACAACGTGTTATAGGCTTGGGGTTTTAATATGCTTATGAAATTTGGAGTAAAAGTAGATTAAATATTGAAAATATTAAATATTTGAGTGAAAAGGTGAAAGTTAATTTCATTTCGAAGTACCGCACGACAGCATTGGGCCCAAGTCTTTAACAATAACAGTTTAAGACTACATAAAAAATTTAGAACAGCACGAAATGCTGAAAAAAAAAGATCGGCATGTAATAAATTTGACTTTGTTCTGAACTTCTGGTCAGTCAGGTGTTTCGAAAGGTTATTGTGGACGTATAGTCTATTTTGTTGATTAGTCTATGCCAGTGTTGGCTAAGTCAATAAAACCAAATATTAAGTGATGGGAAAAGTTCATAAAGCGACTTCAGCTAAAGAAAATCGTTGTATGATGCAGAAACCACGAAAATCTTGGAAAACATTAGGAGATAAGTTAAATAACTGTGAAACTGTGTGTGAGATTGAAATGTATGAAAATAAGACTGAGAAACAATCAATAGGGGATGAAAAAAGAAGACTGAACAGTAGCATGGAACAAACAATAATGGGCTTAGAGCCCTCATTAAAACCAAAATATGACTGTAGCCATAATCTTATTAATATTGTTTATAAAGATGATAAAACACTCGAAAATAACAATGTCAAAGGTATAATACCTGAACAAGAAAATACAGGCTTCAGTAAAGAGAATAGAGAAAGTATTAGCCTCAGAGTCAAAGATGGTAGGTACATCTAATCTATGTGATGAGGCAAGTGTAATAGGCTGTAACTTTTAGTTTTAAGTTGTAACGTAAGCCTATTGTCACATCAACTAAATTTAGTTCAAAATATCTGATAATTGTGTGCATGAAACATCCTATAATTGAGTATAAATTTATAGTATAAAAGTTTGATATTATTGCATGTAGACAGACATTTAAGAAAGATTAGATGGCAAAAGTATTTTTGATAAGTTAATTATTTTTAGAATTGTGCAACAATTAGATTTTTTCAGATCCAAAATAGTTTATTTGTAGGTAATAGTAAAGGAGTGATATGTTATAAGATTTAAAGGGATATACAGAATTGGAAGTGATTATGGAAACATTGAGGTAAAAAAAAATCAAAAAAGGCAAATACCATGGGAGTACCACCCTCTTATTGTGTGAAAATAAACTTGAACAGTGTACACTAACATGTTGGTAGTTTAGGGATTGATTGTTATTCAACCAATCATAAAGTGTAACTCCAGTATAATGCCTATACAAATACAGGCAGTTATACTATTCCCATCATAGTGTGATGAATACACTCATGGTTTCTTGGACTGAAATAATGCATGAAAAACATGTAGAATCAAAGTTGTGATTGGTCATGAATTCTCCATACAAAAATCTGTATTTCAGTAGGAGCTGTATACAAGTTGTTGAGATAGAATACCAAAAACTATTCAAAAGTGATAATAAATATATTTTTATTTATGAGATCGATGATAGTTGAGTATGGATGTTGCCAGTGACCTTACATTAAATACAAGTGTGAATGGTACTTCCAAAAAACAGTAAGATACACTTTAGCATATAGTCTCAATGGACATGTAGCTGTTTGAAAAACTACTTTGAGAAGAAGTAACCAAACCAAGAGATTGAAATAAGCATCAAACCACAAAATATGGAAACAGCAAAGTCAGAAACATATGTTCTTTACAGATGAATCCAAGTTTGAATTGTTTGGCAGCAATTGACAGTTGTTTGTACCATGGTAGAGAACAGGAAATAGACAATATACAGTGAAGGTTAGTAAGGAGTACGTATAGGTCAGCATCTCAGCCAATGATATTGATGATCAACATAAAATTGTGGGCTATATAAAAATTGAGACAGTAAAAAGGGTAACAAAACATCTTACCTGAATTGTGGGAAATAATACATTGCATTTGGAGCAATATTTCTTAATCATACAATGATAAACTTTATGGCAGCATAAAAGTCATGTGTAATATTCTGCATAAAGCAGTTGACTCACATACAAAATACTAGTGTATTGCACAGCTTATTCACTTCTTTTCTGTAATAATGTTTTCCATCTTTATTAAAGCTTCTTCTTAGTTTCCATTACTCATTGTTTATAACTTGTGTTTGTGTTGCTAGTATTTTCATAATTATTTCTATTACTGTATATTTGCTTTTTCTAAGCTAATTCTCATGATGTAATTATATATTATAAACAAAGTCGGGCAATTAGTGGTATTTGCAATTCACTTAATCAATTGTTCCATTAATTAATTAGTATCATTGAATAAATTAGTACATGCATCAGACAAGAAAAAGGTTGGGTTGTGGGTTCTGTCAGAGAATTTGCATGCCTTCTAGTTAACAGTTCACCCACAAAAGGAAAAAGAACAAAAATGGTTGGTGATTGTTGCAATCAGCCAGTTGCCATTCCTCCATAGTCATCAGTTAAACATTATTGATTGTGGCATACAACCTTAATAGTTTTGCTATAACAAAGACAGGGTGAGCAAGTTTGGTGGCAGTATTTCAATTACTTGGATGGTTGGAATAATCAAAAATACTAAAACCCTAATCTTGATTAGTTGATTATTTTCCTTAAAGTTAATTTAATTGTAATTCCGAAATGGTACTACCTCCTTTCCCCCTTAGCTATCTCGACCTTCATTTACCCTCTAGCCATTGGTAAATTTGTTTAACAGTGCACCAGTCTTTTATACCCTTATATTTTTTGTCATTACAGCAACATGTGCTGATCATGTGACCACCCTCCACCAATCCCATTGCATCCCCTATACTAGCACAGGTAGCTCCCTCTACCATTGTGGCACAATCCTCACTTTCTCGATTGGCATTCTCACGTAATGACATGTGTTTAAACTCATTCTCCATGTAACTGCACAAGCTTGATTGTGCTTGATCACCAATTAATATCAGCTACAACTTTCTACTTGTTTGTTTTTGAGATATTTCTGTTTTCCAAATTTTACTTTCTTCATATGAATTTGGGTTTCATATGGTGCTTGATAATTTTCCTGCCATAAATAGACAGTGGTTATAACATTAGGCATCAGTCTCAGTTTTGATGATATTTGCTGAGGAAGCACAGACTTTCATTCGTGGGGAGTTCTTGTCTTGTGTACAGCCGGCAATTTTTCCTTTCAAGATAAGTATTGTTTTTTACCAGGAGATCTGTGGTTAGTTTTTCAGTGTGTATTTATCACCTCACATAGATCTACCTATGTTCAATGAGTTTATGTGAGCTCATTTGTATGAATCTAATTTCCACACTTGATAATTTAAATCATTCATGTCATCCCTGGTCAGAGTTATACTTCTTTTACTATCTACGTTACTTTAGTTTATAACTTGCATTTGGAGTTTGTTTCTGGCATTCATTTTGTTTAATATTTTACTTTTTTATTTCTTTTCTTTTTTTTGTGTCTTTACTACTAGTCACATCTAATTGGGGATAAGTTTTGTGTCAGACTTTGTTTTAGTTAACTGGATGCCTTTTTATTTCTCATGTTCTCTAGGGTAAGTTTCTTTTCTTGTGTCCTTTGTCTTATAGCTTCATTGAATCGACTTGTACATTCTATGTTTAAGGGTCGTTTATTTTATTAGTCCCTTTTTGTTGGTTTTGTACTCTGGGTGTTACTTATTGTTTTGTGCTTTTCTTCAGTTACTCTAGGTGAGTTTTGCCTGTTCTGGGTGCTCACAGGCTGTCTTTTTTCAGGTCTGTATTGGTTTTGCGGAGTGGTATGCTCTTTTGCATGTCACCTTCACTTGTTGGGTCTTCAGACTTGCATTTTATGGATGACAGGCTTCTGCTTGTCTCTTTCTGTGCCTGGTCAGTCACTCACACCTGCTTCCTTCTTCTGGAAGCTTCTCAGGTAGGGTTTCCTTTCTGGTTTGAGAAGTCACAGTTTCTTTTTCATTTGAGAGTTCTCTTCACTTCCTTTTTTGGTTGAGCCTAGCCTTCTCCACTTTGATTCCAGGATATCTAGCAGACAGTCATATCTTCCATCCATTCTCCTTCTCTCTTTGTCTGTGAAGCTCTGCCTCTTTTGGGATGTAGTCTTCCTAGGAAGTACTCATTCCCTTGGGCCAGACACACATGTATACCCTTCATTGAATACTTCTCAATCCAGTGGAACTTCCCTCATGATCCCTTGGACCATCACATTTTCCTGAGTTTGTGGGTTGTTGGTCAGTCAAGGAGGCTACTCTCCATATCCACATTCTAGTACCTTGGCAATTCATTGGGCTCTGTATCTTTTCCTCCCCTTCCTGCAGGGGAGGGTGGTTATGGTTCTTTCTGATAATTTGACTATCATCAACTTTATCACCAAGAAAGGGTGAATCACATACTGATCTCTGTATGGTCAGACTGGATTTTATATACTGGGCCAGTGACTTTGACATGACTATTCTGACAGATCATGTTTTCCAACTTCTGATTCTTGTGGCTGATCTCTTATTGCATCCCCACCAGGTTCTCCACAGTGGTCTCTTCCTCCTCACATTTTTCTATGGGTTTGTATCTGTTTCCCATTCACTGGTATGCCACATTTTCTTTCTTTTTGTCAAGATTGGAATTGACTTCATGTGTATGCCTACTCTCAGATTTGACTCTTCTTCTGGGTCTTTTCCCTTATCAAGAACTAATCTTGTTGTGCTATGCTGGTTCTTCAGATGTGGTTCCCTCTGATCTGGCCCTTACTGGAACAACACACTTTCTTCCTTTTCTCTATCTCTCCGTCCCCCCCCCCCCAGTCATCCACGAGCTGACATTTTTCCACACTTCTTCTTTTGGAGTGACTTTGTCCAGCCATATGCCTAGCTCAGGGGCTTGCCCTTATATGCCCACCCTCCATTCTGACTCATCTTCTTCTTGGTCTTTTCCCTTATCTAGACCACTCCTTCTTGTGTTCTGTTGGTTGCTCTGGATTGGCCAGGTCTGACATAGTTCCCTCTGCTCTGGTCCTTCCTGGAGCAACAGACCCTGCCTCTTTCTCTGTCCTGTTTGCTTCTCAGACCACTATGATCTGTTGTTTTTCATCCCAATGCTACTATACTTTATCTTTCTGTGTGTCTTCTGTCCAGTCCTGTGCCTCAGCTCAGGGGTTCACCTCTTGTGTCACATCCTTCATTGCCTACACTTTTCACCCTTCCTCTTTGTCTATGTACCTGAGGCATAAGTCTTGCTTCAGTCTTTGGTCTATTTCCAATGGCTTTCGACTCTCCTGTACTTCTGTTCCTCACCTGTCCCAGTTCATCATCTGGTTGTTGGTTCAGTGTTTGTCTTTTTCAACTGTTGCTCTTTTGTCTGGTTCATCCAACATGTTTCCTTTGTTCTGCCAGATTGGGATCTCCATATTGTTCTTCCTATCCTGTCCAGTTCTCTCTTTGCACTTTGAAACATATTTCTCTTATGACCTCAGTCCTCCCCCACCTGGCATGTGGTCTTCCCTTCCTTTTCCTACCTGTATTCCCAATCGTTTCCAGATCATCTCCTCTGTCCAGTTCATTCCCTGCTCTGTTTTTGGTTCATACTGTCTCCTTTCATTGTTCTCAGTCCTATTTAATTGTTCCATGGTATTCTTGTTTCCCCTGATCTTTCTCCTATTATGCTCACCGGTTGGGTTTGTCAACTCCTATACCTGGCATAGTTGGATGTGTCCCTGGCCACTTGTCATCTACATATTGTTACATATGGTTTTTTCACATCAACTTCATCATCTAACTCTGCTCTGTCTTAAGCTGCTCGACACCACCTAGTTTGTGGACAAATATGTATACTTTCATCACTCTTTCTCTGCATAACTTTGCTGTGTGTTCCTTGGGCAGATATCATCTTCCTCCTCTGGTGATTCAACACATGTATGTTCGCCTGTGACTGGGGTAAGTCTTCATATTATTTTTGCTTCTTTTATCATTGCTTATATGGCATATTTCAGGATCCCAACTGGTGGTGGGTGTTGCCCTCTGAATTGTATCTCTTAGCACTATATCTGTATACTTCTCTAATGTTCACTGTGGAGATGGGGTGTTTCTGTAAGACCACCGAGCACTTTTCTGGTGGTGTGTCTATATCTATATATCACATTTTTTTTAAATCAAAATATAATATATATATCTCCTGAGGACTGTCACTCATGGACTTCATGAGTATAGCAGATAGTGATTTTTGCCCATCCCTAATGACCCGTGATTCTTAATATCTGGGACTTTTTGGTTTTCAAAATAGGGAAACCCGGACACCAATTGCACTGTCTCCAGTGGGTCATTCCTCCAGACCCCCAACACATCTCCCCCTCCTTTATTCTAGTGGAGCACGAAGGTCCTTGCCACTTCTGGTTCCCAGTCGGTGGAGTTGTTTCCTCATGAGTGGGTTTTGTGCAATAACATAATCTCATAGCCATATATACTCACTTGATGAGAAGAAGGCTATCATCATTATGCTCCATATGATGCACACAATATGGCACAAAATCTCTTATGCAAGGCGCTTCCACCGGATGTTTTCTGCCCAGATGCACCTCGCATGACATAATCCAATGTATACCAAGGGGCTTTCCCAGGGTGTTTTTGTCTGGGTGGACCTTACTTGGCTATCTAGATATCAATCCAAGGTGCTTCCCCTGGATGATTTTGTCCAGGCGGACTGCACTTGTTGATCTTATCTGTGGTTGTTATGCTGCATATTCTACACACAATATGGCATGAAATTTATTATGCAAGGCACTTCCACTGAATGTTTTCTGCCCAGATGGACTGCACTTGACATAATCCATTGTATGCCATTGGGCTTCCCTGGATGTTGTTGGCTGGGTGGACCTCACTTAGCTATCTTGAGATTTTGCTTAAGTGGACTGCACTTGTTGATTTTACAAACTTATCCAAGGTGCTTCTATTTTGTTTTTGTTCTTGGACTGCACTTGGCATAATACATTGTATCCCAAAGTGCTTCCCCTGGTTGTTTTCTGTCTGGATGGACTACATTTGACCAATTCATGTATGGTTCTCTAGCCCTAGCCATGTATTCCATTTGTTTCTGCCCTATGTGTCTTATCGTCTTTACTCGGTGAAGAGTATACCTATTCCAGAAGTAGTGTTATACCCCACAGGTGTGCCTCATATTTTATTTGTGGCACACCTGCTTTTTTCATAGTTGTTGCTCTCCACTTGATTATTTGTTTTTGCACGTTCACTGGCCCCTCCACATTTCCAATGTGGGATTCTAGCTATGGGGGAATGGAGGTAGTACCGTTTTGGAAGTTAACATTTTCTAACACTGAAAATGTATTTCCGATAGGCACTTACCTTCCCTCATCCACTCCCTACCCTTCCTCCCCACTGATTTGTCGGTGTTTCTAGGTTTGTATGTTCTCGAAAGTGAGGATTGCACCCCAGTGGTAGAGGGAGCTACCTGCACTAGTATAGAGGGTGCAATGGGATTGGTGGAGGGTGGTCACATGATCAGCACATGTTGCCGCAATGATGCAAAAAATATAGGGGTATAAAAGACTGGTGCGTCGTTCAAAAAATTTACCAATGTCTGGAGGTAAGTGCCTATCGGAAATACATTTTCAATGTTAGAAAATTTTCACTTTTGATTAATCAAGTGTTGGAATAATCAGTAATAATTGGAAACACTAATTTCGATTAAGTGATTATTTTTGCTAAAGTTGATTTAATGATAATTTTGATTAATCAATTGCTGGCATAGTCAAGAACGGTAATAATCGGAAACACTAATTTTGGTAAATTACTTAGTTTACATGACAATAATTGATGGAATTACTGCTTGTAGGTAATTGATGCCCCCCCCTCCCCAAGTGGATAAATAGTAAGTCTGAAGGCTTACAATGTTGAAAATTAGTTTTTGATACCTGTGATGGGCATAGCACATGAAGCTCATTTGTATAGCCTTTTGTTTAACAACAAACAAAATAAAATAAAAAGGTAACTGAGTAAATTACCCAGCTCTAATAATAATGAAACTTCAGCATGTTAACTGGAAGAAAGGTGTATTAAAGAAGTGTTATTTGCAAAAACAGTTTTTGTTATGCCCCTACATTATATCCCACAAATGATATGGAAATGTGTGGCCTTATAAAATCTAAGTCATACTTAATTGTGTTTTATTTGTTAGTCAGTTCCAAAGTTGGGAAATGTCCTGAATTGACCACTGAGTCTAGATGTGTAATATGTGGCAAACCAAACATTCCAGGTGTAAATTATGGGGTGAGATGCTGCAGTTCATGTAGGGTAAGTTTGTAACTAGAAAATTGTCTGCTGTTAGTTTATAAATGTTTTTCTTTAATGTTTTAAATAAAACATCCACATCTTTTCTTTATTTATCAATGTTTTATTGTTTGCTTTACCAACTTTAGATATTTTTGATAGGGCTCTTGTTTTTTGTTTTTTTTGTTTGTTTGACAGTCTTTGTGATTGGGCCATAGCTTGGTAAACAAGTTTTATTATAGAGAAGTGCAAAGTAATGGTTTTGGGTATGGAAGGACTTAAAGTGTGGTTTGAGAGAAGCACTGTTATTGTAGTAAAAGAGTAGAATTTGGTGTGATTGTTGGTGAAAAGATATTGGTAATCTTTTATTGAGTTACATTGTGCTGTTTTGGCAACTATGTCATGGTAAAGATATCAATATGTTTGAAAGCATGTAGAGACAATATATGAACAATGAGAGACCATTTGGTTCATTAAGACTATCTGCATATCTGTTTTCATGAAAAAGAAAAGCAAAAATTAAATTCACACTTTAACTTTTAGGAAATAATAAATCCTCCTCTTTATACTATTGTGAGGTGCTGGCACCCACCAATGCTGCAGATGACAACTCATTCAATCAACTGATCACCCTGTTAGAAAAATAAAACTGTTTTTGCCAGATCTTGAACTTGTATCCTCTCATCCTATTGATCCCCATGAGATAATCTTTCCAACGTCGGAATTATTCTAGTAGCTCTTCTCTGAACCCTTACCAATAACTGATATCCTTTGTGAGATAAGAAAACCAAAATTGTACACAATATTCTACTATATGTGAGGTCTAACTTTTTTAACTTGTAATGAATATGTCTACAAGTATATTCTAAAATTTATCAGCATTTTTACTAGCAACATAGACTGTCTTGAAGGTCTGAGTAACTTATCTACCATTATGCCAAGATTGTTTTATTTGGTCATACTGTTGAGTGGGTTGTTATCTATATAAGATATTTGACCCAAATTATGATAATCTATATGCGTTGCCTTGAACTTAATATAAAATATAGTTAAAGGTGATGTGCCAACTTATAAATTGTTCCAAGTCATTTTATGGCATCTCAATACCCTCAGTACGTGTAGAAATACTAAAGAGCTTAATAGCATCAGCAAACCTCTTTACTAGTTACCCACGGTCAATATCAATGTAAATAACATAAAACAAAGACTCAAGCACTGGCTACAGTTCAGTTAACTAGCCTTTCCCTAACCCTTACCACTGTCACTATCTTGGCTAGTCTTCTGTTTGACACCTAATCAACAGCTTTTTGAAAATCTAAGTACACCAAGTATACTCTCTTTCCAAAGGCTATTTCTTTTGATTAGCACTTTTTTATACTTTTTATAATACTTCAGTTTTTTTATTTGCTAGCTCTTGATAGTAACGTAACTTACTTATTCTTGTAAAAATTAAACAGTTCATTTAGTTTTATAATTCAAAGCATAGTTATTGTAAAATTGCTTAATGTGTTGTGGACTTTGAGTTTAACCTATTTATGTAAAACACTTGAGGGCAAAATACATTTTGAAATAATCAAAATTATTTTATTTAATGTTTTATTATTAGGTTGAGATTCATGCATACATCTAGTGAATCTTTCAGAATAATGTAATGTTCTTCCTTTATATAGAGTAGATGGTACTTTCTGAAAACAAAAAAACCAAGAGTGTGCTTGAATCCAGAAGTCTGTCATAAGAAAATTTCTGGTCCTTCAAAACTATCAAAATGTAAAAACTGTCAATACAAGACATTTGTGAGAAAAGGCTTCCAAGAAATAAAAAACAGTAGTAAGTTGAAATTTACTAATATTTCATAGAAAAAGAAGCATATTTGTTAATTATTTTAGAAAATTATTTTCCTTAGTTAACAAAATTATATTCTTTTTGCCTATAATGTGAATGCTAATGTGTGTGTAAGTTTTGCAGTGCCCTTTCTACTCTTACTAGATTTTTTATTTTGTCTTTTAAGTTATAGAGTCAGTATCATTTGTTACTTTATTTTTTATATATGTAGATGTTTTTTGGGTAATTCAGATGAATTTCCCTCATTATTATGTTTTTTTTAACTGTATTTGGAAAATGTTTGCACATTGTTTGAAAGCATTTGTGGAATTTAAGAATAAAATGAAATACATGGTAGCATTAATGTTGATCATTTTAGGTACTGGTTGGCTGTACTCCAGCCACACTAACACAAACTCTTGGTGCAAGGAGGATAAAATTAAGATTTGAAATAAGTTTTTGAAATTAATCTACATTTATTAAGTTTAATTTATTGTCATTCAATAAAATTTTAAAGTTGTTTTTTTTACAAAGGAGGATTAGATTGATTACCTATATGTTTCATTACTGACTTATTACTGTTTTAACAGTGTAAGCCCATTATTGTTAAACAGCACTTATTATTGTCCAATAAGCTGAGAACATTTATTTAAAAAAGCAGAAAAGTTTGAAGCTTAACCAAGTCATAAGAACATCAGAGGTATAGAATTTGTTATAGTATTCCATTAAACTGAAAATATGAATGGAGTTTGTTAGATAGAGCACCTCTAATTAATGTTGAAGATAAATGTTCTCTGCAGCTTTTTTGGATGCTCTGTGTCTTATTCTAATAAACCTCATCATGCAATATTTAGTTTATAAAAATTAACATATTTTAAATTATTGATAATTGAGTTTTATAAAGAAATATTTGAATCAGATAGACTTCTGAAAGACTGTAAGCTTTTTTTTGTCAAGCTGTTCTTGATGCAATGCATTACATGTGTCACCTTCCCAAAAGTTCCCACTCTCCCACCTTCTCTGTGAATTATTGTGCAAATGAACAGGGGAATTTCATAAGCTCAATTTTCACATAAAATATTTTTTATGGTTGGCAACTGTTGTGTAAACTTTGTGGTTTCGCTTGCTCATGAATTCCAAAGTCAATTTTAACACTGATCTTCTAGTGTGCAGCAAGATTTCATGGCTGTATTTTAAGCTCTCATAGTTTAGTGAATTAAAGATTTTAATGCTATATTATCTGCTGGTGTCATAATTAGTTTTCTCTGTTTGATCATGCCTGTTTCCCTTTTTTAACTGAGAAGTATGATTTGTCTGCTAATCCTAAACCTTAGTATCATCTGCTTTTTTTTTCACTTTTCTTTCAGATATATTCTGTTTTAATCTTGAACCAATATTTGTTAAGGGTGCTAGTGTTAGGTGATTCAGTTTTTGAATCTTTTTATTTTCTACCTTCTCCTGGTAGTTAGGTTGGGTCATCTTGTAGGACACATCTTTCTTCACAACTTCAAAATGTTCAGACCATTCTTTTTTTTTGGCATAGTTATTACCTATCAGTTGCTCTTGTTTATTTGATTCCTTTAATCAGGATTAGTTTTCTTCTTTGCTGCCTGTGGTTCTCACTGATTTAGTATCTTTATCTGTCTTGTTACCACAAGCTGTTTGTTTCTTCAACACGGCATTGTTTTGTTTTTCTATTTCTCTAAGGGTTTCACCTGAATTTGTTCAGGAGAGGCACACCAGTATGAGCTAATTTGGGCTGTAGCTTCTTATATTCCCACTCTCGTAATTCCCCTTTAAAGTGTCCAGCAGGTCGTGGTGAACCCTCTGCATTTTCTTATTTTTACAGCTTTTCAGTCTTCTGCGTCTACTGCTTCTGCTCATTCCTTTTGCCTCATTCTGATTGCCTAGTAGAAGGAAGTGGAGTAGTTCTACTCGAACTGTTCAGTGACTCTTCAGTTTTGGATATACTCTCCATCCAGAGTGTTAGGGTAGGATTGTCTAGGCTCACCTGTTCATCTTTGTGACCCTTTTTTCTTAAGGCATATTGGGTTTGACAAATCCTTCAATATGGTCTTTCCATTTACCTTTGTGGTCTCCTTCCTGTTTCTTTTCACTTTATATCTTTTTGGCCTCCTCCTGATCCAACTTGCCTCCAGTTTCAAAATTGGTCACCACAGTGCTCGTGTTCGGACATTTTATTTAGTGCTCTCTTTGAATTTTTTTATAATTTATTTTCTAGTTTTCTATTTATTTTAAATACATTATTTGAATCTCATTTCATCGTGGTTTTATTTAATTTTCAATCCAGTTATGAAACTTAATAAATTTTCTATGTTTTTTCTTTCTTTACCAACCCAGTTGTATTTGGTTTTCATTTACATTATGAATTCTGGAGTGCAAGTTGTACCTTCTAGCAGCAAATTTACTCAGGCTTCAGGTGGAGGGAACTCATTACTTGGAATTATTGGCAATTTTTCCTTGAGAGATTGATTGTTATTTAAGCCAACCTTCTTTTCCTGATGTTGCTCAACTTCATCCTGAATAAACCAAACCTGTTCAGAACGACAAAGCATTTGATAGCCTTTTTCCTCTGCCTGAATTTGCTATGTCTTCCGAAAGTTCCTACTGTGGGTTCTGCTGGCCTGATATGGCTTTTTTGGACATGATTTCCCAAGTATGTTCTATTTTATCCCTTTTCCTGATTTCCTGTAATCCTCTACTGTCCTTATTACATGATACTTCTTCCTCTCAGTATTTTGTGTTTCCACCATCTGATATTGTGGTTCATGCTGAGCATTTTTTATCTTAGTTACATGATCAACAGGCATGCCTTACTCTTTGCTGACTTCAGATTGGTTTGCTGTAGCCTACCATCAGGCCAATTTTCCATTCCTTGATTCTTAGCAACTGGAATCCATTTTACCTATTTTGGGGGGGGGGGGCAGACCATGATTTTCATGATCTTTTGACACATATTTAATTTTCTCACCTTCATCATACCCTCATGTCTATCTTGCATTACTCATCCACCATGCACCTCCTCTCTGAGGCAATCCACAGAGATCCTGAGGATTTTCAGGGGATACATCTGCCCTAATTACATCTTTGTTCTCACGTTTGTCGACCTCGGCTCTTTCTTTACACACGTGGTTCCTCTGTTGTTGGGATATTTATGAGAGAGATGTGGTTTTGTCTCATTTGTTTGCTATCTTCTTATCTTAAGGACTTACGTCTGGCTCCCTTTTCTCCATGGACTGGTGTTTGGAGATCTTACAGCGACTTTGGAATCCTGAGTGGAATCTGTGAGACAGCAGTTGACTCTTTCCTCATTAGTTTATCATTTATCTCGCACTGAGCCTTGATCATCCCCCCCATCCTAATCCTTCCCAACCCTTACCTTCTCGCCATTTTATTTGATGCCGAGTGTTGCGCAGCCAACAGTATCGGCAACTATCCTGTGGACTTCTGTTCAGTGGTGGCTTGTTTATCCAAGTTTGTTCATTTATGACAAGACTTTGTCATGAATCTATGGGTCCTTCAGGTTTTATCAGTGGGACTTGTCATCCATTTCCTCTCCCCTCCTCCATTGTCTCAGATACCCATTTCATTTCCATTGCCTCAAGATCCTACCACATATCAGCATCTGTCTGTGGCAGTTCAGGATCTTTTTTCTCAGAATGCCTGTGGTTCACACTTTTCTGGGGTTTTATTCCAGGCTGTTTGTTGTCCCCAACAAAACCAGAGACTAGTGGCCTGTGAGCGGTGATCGATCAATCACAGCTCAATCACTTCTTGGTGCTACCTTGTTTTATTATGGAGTCATTTCTCACTCTCAGGTGGGCTTTTTCTCCATGTTTATGGATGACCATATTCCCATATTACAGCAGTCGAGACACTACCTTTGGTTTGTTCTTCATGGAGTGGTTTATCAATTTCATGCTCTTTCTTTAGGGCTTGCTATGGCACCATATGTCATTTGTCAGGTAGTCAAGGCTTTTACCAGACTTATGCATGCTTGAGGATTGTGCTTCCACCATTACATGGAAGACTGGTTTCTGTTGGCTCATTCCAAACTGGAGTCTGCCTGACATACTCTTCTGCTTCATTTGGAGGTGATTCAGGTCAGTTGGTTGATCATGTTGGAGAAATCCTCTCTCGTTCCTACCCATTGCCTTGCTCATTTGGATGTTTTGTTCAATGGAGCTGGCAGTCATCATTGCCCTTACTGCTCCCTTTATTACTGCTCATGAGTTCCTATCACTTTTGGGGATGTGGTCCTCTATGGTGGCACTTATCCCCATGGGTCATGCTCATATGAGATCCCTTCAATGGACTCTTCATGACCAATGGACCCTTGCACGGGATCCCTTGGATATTCCTCTTACCCTTCCTCCTTCCCTTGTAAACGATTTGCATTGGTGGTTGGACAAGGCTCAAACTTCATTGAGGGGTCTGCTTCCTCCCCTTGTCCAAATTTACATATTTTCACAGAAACTATGCTTCATGGCTGGGAGTGTGGGTCCAACAGCAAGTTGTTTGGGTCCTGCACACACAGTATTCATCTACTTGTGTGTCACATTTCTGGTGCTTTCAAGCTTGTCGCAGATTGTCTATCCTGCTCAGATGAAATTCATCTGATTAAGTGGTTTCTAGATCCTCTGGTTTTCCACTGATTGTGCACTTGGGCAGGTACTCTGCACTTGGATGCATTTGCCACTATCCTCGATATGAAGTTACTTCAGTTTTGGTCTCTGATACCTCACCCACTTTCTCTGGCTGTTGATGTGTTCAGCTAGGATTGAACAGACAAATTCCTATTAATCTCCTATTAGACTGATTCTCAGGGTGATTTCTATCATCCACTTCATGTCAAGTCCTTCTCATTGCCTCATACTGGCTGGCCCATCCATGGTTTCCGTGGCTGCTCCAGATCCAATCTGCTCCACCTTTGCCTATTCCCAGCACTCCATCCCTTTTACAGCAGCCTCAGTCCCAGGTATTTCACCCTGCAATTCCTACCCTTTGTCTTCAAGCCTGGATTTTATCTGTTCTGTGGTGAGGAGATCTGCTTTGTCACAGCAAGTAGCTTCGTTTTTGGCATGTTCAGTTTGACCTTCTTCCATGGAGGTTTATTAATGTAAGTGGAATGTTTTCTGCCCTTAGTCTTTGGGTCATGGGTTCTCCCCCTTTCATCCCACTTTTCATCTTATTACAGATTTCCTCACTTGGTTATTTGACCAGAGGTCTTCAGTCTTCTTGATTGTGGGTTATTGAGTGGCCTTATTCCACACTTTTCATTTTTCCCTGTACCATAAAGTTTTTGCCTCCCATATCTTGTCTCTCTTGTTATGTTCATTCCAGATTAGTCACTCTCCATGGCGTGCGACCCTTCTGGATTGGAATGTCTTTATGGTGCTTCACTGCCTTACTTTACCTCCATTTGAACCTTTATCTTCTTATTCCGTGTTTCATTTATCCCTTAAGTTCCTCCATCTATTCAATATGATTTTCTAGCTATGTATGTGAGGGGAAGTAAGTTACCTTGCTCGAAGTTATAATTTTCCTACACTGAAAATATATTTTTGACAGGAACTTACTTCTACTCACGCTTTTCAGCCTTCCTCTTCCACTGTCCACTGGTGCTTAGGTTTCTACCTAATCTCGAAGTGATAGTTAAGTAGAATAGTATATAGAGAGAGTCACTTGAGTCGTGTGTGTGGGGCACATCTATTGGTGGTGGTTTTTCAGTTGACAATTTGCATGCATGAATCAGTTAAACCATGTGAACTGAGGGGTACATTGGAGTGAAAGGCTTGTGGTATGTGAAAAAATGTTGCTAATAGAGGGCAGCACTGAACAAGAATAGCTATGTATATGAGCGGAAGTAAGTATCTGTCGGAAATATATTTTCATTGTAGGAAAATTATAACTTTTGCTACAGTTAGTATTATAGTTGAAAAATTATGAGATAAGGTATAAAATTTTAGCAGAACCTTTTTTTTACATTTATTTAGGAGGGTTTAGCAGTTATGCAAATCAAATATTTTTATTTTTAACAAGAAAAACATTTTGCACTCAAACTGACTCAGCAAAGATTTTGTAAATTCACAGACAAATATTTAGCAAAAATACTTGGTTTATTTTTTGCTAGATAGTTTAGGCAGAGTAATCATATTGAATTTACTGTGAAATGGGTGGTTACTGCCTATTAGAATAACACTTGTAGAAAAGCTATTTGGTGACATACAATCTACTTATCCAGCCCAAGTGTAGAGAATGACAATTTGAAAGTATTCTTCATCTTCAGGTCCATTTTCTGATAGGCAGTAGTTGCCTGTTTCACAGTCAATTCAGGACTTGATTTTTTATATACAAAAGATTTATTGTTTACTAAAAGCTTGCCAAATTTCATGAAAACAAATTATAAGTTCAGAATTATAGTGTGTATAGTTTCACAGAAACAGGCTTGGCCTAATGGACTGACACTGCTTTTAAAGTGTTAACACAGAATAAATAAATGAACAGTTAAGTATAAACAAAGGGCAAACATCTAATGTTTATAATGAAAAGCACCATTTCTCCAGAAATATGTTTAACTTCTCTTATAAGTTCAGAAACTGCTAGACAAAGAAAGATGTTATCCAGTCTCATGGATCATTTTTTTCCTAGCCAAGCTAATGTAGCTATTTTTTAGATGGCCCATGGGGGCATTATAACATGACAGTAAAAGAGTAGCCTAAGAGTTGACGGTAGGTGGTGATGGCTAGCTGCCTTCCCTCTACTCTTTCACTGCTAAATTAGGGATGGCTAGTGCAAATAGCCCTTATGTAGCTTTGCATGAAATTCAAAATAAACCAAACTAGAACATTCTAGCTCTTCTCATACACACACTGATGGGCAAAGGCATCCCACACCTAGCGATATTTAACATTGGTACTTCCTCACCTTAGGAAAAATTTTCAACTAGTTTTTTCAGAAGATTGCTCATCGGTGTTTCAACTTTGATGATTGTTTCCACTATGTAAATATTTCCAGTTAGCAGTGTGCACATGTGCCCATCCTTCAGCTTGAATGGAAAACAACTTTGTTTCCCAACCTAAATAGGCACTTAATCTCTCTACATTGTTGAAGTTAATTCTTTTTTTGAAAAATTGCTGTCTCAAGCTCAAACCTTATGTCAAAAGAATATGCAGATTTAAGAATATTTACATGGTCTCCACCTTTCACTGCTTACAATAATTTATTTACATAATTGTGTGTTAATAGACATGTATACACATCTAGACCTTATCAGCTAGCTGATGCCAATGAAATTGACAGACATATGTATGCCTTAAAGGTTTTATTTTTGCTAAAATTTGAGTCTGAAACTTGTCCTTAGGCAGAAACATTGGCTGCTATTCTAAAGTCTGTTATACAGTCTGGAGACTCATATTTTATATCTTGTCTTATATAGGCACATTTGAGATAGTTTCCACCAATTTTCTTACTGCTTTATTTTCAACTATCTATTATATTAAAACTCAGTTTTTGTCTGTCCCCTGAAAATGTCTGCAAAACTTACTACTGAAATGCACATGTGTGTGTGCACTTCATTTCAATGGATGTAAACAAAAGGCATGTATAAATAGAGGGTCTTATTCCTGAACATTTTTTTATTCTCGGGAACTGGGAAATTTGTTTCGTTATTCCCGAAAATTACTGGTGAAGTTTATAAAACTATTTTCAAAGTGGTAATAAAGATCACATGTGATTTAAATCCACACATTTTATAACACAAAATACAAAAAAATTTAATTAAGATTATTTTTTGTCTTTTTCAAAAAATAGCATTTGAAGAAGTATCGGACATTAATAGCTTTATCTTTTAGAGATGATCGCTGCTTCATTAAAAAGTTTCCTGAGGTTGGAAGCACTCACTTTCTGTTGAAGCTGGATTCACTGTTTTGAATCCAATTTTGAGTTTTGGCAAGTTATCTATTAGCTTTCCAACCGACTCATGCATTCCAATTTCCATGTTTAAAGATTTATTATAATCCATAATTGAGGTCTTAGTTCTGAAATAAATCCAGTGGCAAAGTTAAATCCTAAAATTTTAGAAACAAAATTTAAGGAATTATGATCAGCTGTTGGGCAATGCCCCCTTTCTGCTTGTCTAGATCTAATTTGTGATCCTCTTTGTCCATGTCCAACTCTTCTTGAAACTCTTCTTCCCCATCCTTTACCATGAATTTCATTATTGTTTCTAACATCTAAATTGGCTTCATTATCATTAGCTAAATGTCTAAACTGTATACTCTCTGCAGGCCTAAAAGCAGTCACTACAGATTCCATTCCCTATCAATTATATCTAGCAAAAACATGATGCTCACTTTTACCATCTGAATCTCCACTGAATCCATTAATTTCTATTTCTCTGCCAGGATATTCTTCTTCAGATTCTAAATAATTTTTAATAATGACTTACATTTCTTAATCTAAAGACATAAAAGAAAAGTTAGGGCTGTGACTTGTACTTCACCATTTTGAAAAAAAAATCACAATCATTTCAATTTTTTCATCTGCCGCCAAAATTTCCAATTCAAATAATTTCCATCATGTAAAAATAATTACCAAGTTTTCGTTCAAAGACCATTTTGATATTTATTACTTTACATTAGTATTTATATTTTTTAAATTCTTAAACCCTTGTAAAAATATCACAAACATTAGTAACATTTTACTTTTCAAAGACAAAAAAGTTTTACAAAAATTCCTAAGAATTCTCAATTAATTTCCTGAGATCCAGGAATGGGAATTTAGTGAAATTTCAGGGAAATTGTGGGAGGGATCCTCTAGGTGTAAATATACTTTAGTAGACTTCTTGTATAACAACATATTAAAAACTTTTCAGAGTTTTTAAAAAGGTTTAACGTTAGGGTGTAGAATAACATTATAAATTATTGATAGTATTAAGTATGGTAAAGTTTAACCCTATTTAAACAAAATACACTGTTAATTTATCTCTTTATCAAGTATGGGCCTTACCTTATAATAGTGTAACTAACATTAATCCTAAAACAAGTGGACTTATACATTTTGGTGTCTGTGATTTAGTATTCTTTTGTATTATTCTATAAATCTTTTACTTAAAGAAGTACTGTTGCAATAAATTTACTAATTTGACCACAAATGTTTTATGGGTCTATGTTTATAACATACAGCAGTGACTATCTCAAAAACATATGGATATAATACTGTATTTAACACAGTAAAAACATATACCACATTTAATCATACTGGAAACTAAAGAAACATCTAAGTAAATAGCATGAGTCAATACATTACTTTTTCCTGGGTGCAATCTTAATATTAAATTTTTTAGTGCATTTTCTCTCCATAAGTTCATTGATATACTTTGTGTTCTGCCTATGTTGATTGTGTTTTTAGGATGAAATGTCAGAAATTACTACAAGTAATATATTTTGCATAAGATATTGACTGCCATAATTTTTTACAAACTGAGCTTATTTGTCCAACTTCTGTTTTTAAGGATTAATGATGATTGATTGCCTACAAATTCTGTCTGGGTTTATTTAATGGTTTTGTTATAGCTAATTAATTTTTCAGTCAAGAAGTGTTCAGCATGTGGGAGACAAAGACAGTTGTGTGGTGCATGTGGAATGTGGTGTTGTATACCATGTAAGGTAAGAGGTAGTGTAGTGATTTAGTAATGCAGAAACATGTTTTAAAGATAAATTGTGAACATATGTGGTGACTTCTTAATTTTTTATTGGGATAGTATGTAATTTGCAAGATAAAGTTTTATGACAAGTAGATAATTTTTAGTATTTAGTGATGTAAACTGAGTTGAGATATTTCTTAATCAGTAATTAATGAAAGTAGTAAATTTATTATCTGATGTGTAGCATTAATATGGAATTATTTCACAACAAATCCTCATAAACAGTGGAATAATGACGTGTTATTTTTCATAGCAGAAGAGTTACCACTTAAAAATGTCATTATATTGCTTATAGCCTTTTCTTACGAAAATTAAAATCAGCAGCTTATCCCTCTGAGGACTGAATGTGTAAGAACTTTGGTGATTATTAGACCAAATAACTTAACAGTCAACAGAGTGTAAAGAATAATTTAACCCATTAAGTGCAGCAGGAGCAGCTCAGTTGCCGTTTTCTGACTCACAGATAAAACTGAGTTGTCATCAATCACAATAAAATGGCAATTTTCGTCATTTGCATAGAGTTATAGTTATATGTGTGTGCAACTGATGGATATTTCCATCATTCGCAGCTAAGACATAGAACTTCAATGACGGAAATATCCGTCATCCACAGTTAATGGGTTAAGAGATGCAGCATTGTCCTTGGTTTTACTTTGCAATCATCAATAATTATATTGCTTATTAATGAAGATGACAAAGTAGCTCTTTTCTCTTGGAAGAAACATTTTTTCAACCAGTATTTTTACTCCTTCCAGATGGGTCATGGGTCAAAGGCCATGTCATCGCATTTGTTCACTCACATTCAAAATTTTATTGAACTACTATTTCATGAATTTATGTCAGTAAGTTTGATATCAAACTATAGATTTTAATTCAAATTTTAGTAATATACAATATGTGATTTCTTAGTTCAAAAGCAAATATTAAAAAAAACAGTTAAACATCAATTTTTATGTGTAATGTGGTTTGTTGAATGCAGCACTGGTTCAAATTAGATATTTGGGTTTTAGAATACTAAGTCTATAGTTTTGTATGAATTAGGAACTCAAATTACCGATATTGACAAGCTAGAATATAAAATAAGAACTTCATATTTTTTGTATTTGCTGAGATATTGCTCATTTACTGAATCAAACACAGTGGCCCTGCTCACCTCTTTCCATTTTTGGAAACGTTCTCTTATGTACACTTATTTCAATATATGACATGTGAATAACCATTTTAAAAGCTCAGAATGTCCCCCTAGTGGCTTTCCCAGCCATTATAAAGTGCTAGAACACCATCTTTTTCTTCCAAACCAAGATTTCAAGGAGGTAGGTTGTGTCTTTAGTCTGCTCAAAATTCCATATTTTTTTAGACCGAAATACAGATAAGTTACTAAGCTTGATAAATTATAGTGGAATTCTGTGGTATCGATATAGTAATTTATGATGTTTTGGTTATTCAACTGTATATATATAAAACCTAAAAAAATTATTTCATTTCATATCCTCCAAGTGCAAAATTTAAAAGGCTCAGCAATCTACGTCAAGCAGCAACTGAGTACGAAGGTCATAACAAGAAGAGATAATTGTTGCTTTACTTCTTTATTTACTGTTCTATCTTTTAAGAAAATAAGTTTACGAATTTATTTATAAATAGTAATAATCTATATACATATTGAAATGTGACTGTATTTTACAAAATACTAATCTACTAAAACACAGCCAAGAAAGGTCACTTTGTAAAGACTAAAGGTCAGGTTTATATTATTGGATATGGTAACATGAGAGTACGTGTGCTGCATCATTGTAACTTCTATATTGTTAGCCAGGCATGGCTGAAAGGTCAATATAATAAAAATAATAAATGTGTAATGTTACGAGATTTAAGCTATTTAGTCTAAATATTTATGTTTTAGTTATAATTTGTTCTCATTCTAGGATGAAGAGGCATAATTTATATTTAATTTCTAATTTTTATGATGGTTACAAAATCAGTCAAATCTACCAAACCTATACAGAGATTTGTTAGTGAAAATAACAGATAAAATATAAAGTTTTTCTTAAAAGATATTGGATAACTGTCTGGACATTATAAAGATTTTGCATGGGAAATTTGAAAATTTTCTGATGCATAAGAGTATTTTTAATTTTAAAATGAAAATTACTTTGCATGTTGGATAGGCAGTGTGCAAAAAGAAAAAAGGTATGAGGAAAATAGTGCTTAACCAACCTTAAGACTTAATAAAAAAATTTTATATTTTGCATGTGAAAGCATTGTAATGTTTACTGGTAATCTGCTAAATTTCGTGAACAAACGTGTACTAGATTAAAAGTTATAGCATGAAAACTATAACAAGTGTTATGTATTAGAATTTCAAATAGTTTGAAACCGAGTTAACTGATAGTTTAAATTTAGTAGTTAAATTGTACTTTGGATTTAGTATTTAAATATATGCTGATATATAGTCAGTTTATGATATTTGCCAACAAGATTCATACACACAGTTTTCTTTTTTAACACAAATACGCTTTAATATACGCTGTTTGTGTGTGTGTGTT